TGCCGTTGTGGCTCGCATATTTAGTCATAGGGGTTCGTTCTAGGGCTCAGGGTCAGGCCGGAGTTTTATCCGGATGAATTTCTGGGGTCTGAGGTTCAGAGCCAGCGGATCTGTAGATAAAATGCCGGCCTGACCCCAATGTTCAGAGATTCGAACTCCGAGGACACATAGACAATTCCATTGACAAATCCACCGGACTGAGGCAGATAAAACTCTGTGGAACAACCCCTCGGTACACTTCTGCATACAGCTGGAATTTAGAGAGTGCGCGGGGTGCTACGACGACCACATGTGACAGGCTTCAACAACACGAGCTTGGCGATGGACACTTCATTTTTGGCTGCACCTCGCAGGTCGTCTCAAGACACTCACTTAACCCCGGCATCGGTCACCGATGCCACTGTACCCAGAGTGCCATCTCGGATGTCGTGCAGCAGCCGCAAGAATTCCTTGGCCGCGGCATTCCCAACACAAGGAAACCAGCCCCCGAACTACTTAACCTAGAACCCTGAAACCACAGAAAGCATACAAAGCGCACAACGGATTGGGAAAGCCAGGGCACGGTTCTTTGAAAAGGAGGTGTGCTCAGCTGCCGGGTAACACGCACAAAATGATTGTGGAGCGAATTCCCGTAGGCTTCTCGACCTCGCACGGTGCGGTAGTGGTTCGAAAAGAACGTGGGTGCCCTCTCGAGTAGCTCTGTCCATGGAATGTCCGGCTCGATGGCGCCAGTCGTGGCATTCTTCAGCCGAACTCGTCCATCCTCACTCAGCACTGGACGCTGGGGGTGTTTCTCGTGGTCCAGCTCGAGCAGCCTTTGAAGCTCTTGGCGGATCAACTTGTCACCGGTTTTGGAGCGCTGAAAGTTCGCAGGGATAGCCTGGGGTTACGAGAATTAGGAGAGAAGGATCACATCAGGGCTGAGAGGACTGATTACGCATGTTTGATATGTTAAACACAGCGAGGGCACAGACACTGACTTCCCGGCAGGCTTGGCTTTCAAGTGCAGCTGCTTTACCAAGGCTTGCTTGATCTTCTTGAGTGGGCCAGGGCCTTTTGGCGGCGCGCTTGCAGCAGGAGCGCTGCTGCTCTGATCCTTCTGATCCGTGCGGTCCTCCTCAGCACTCTCCTTCTCGGCAACGGGTGGTTCCTTGCGAGCTTTCACTGGGCCTGGCGATGCGGACGTTCTGGCTGCAGTGCCTTTGGGGAGTTTCTCCGGCCACCGGGTGTGCAGGTGGGCCCTCTGCACTGCCTCTAAAGATTTCGGAGTCAAGCGGCATCGGACCCCATCCAAGCCGCGCAAGATCTCATCGCACTGCAAAGTCATTGGCATCCGAAAAGCTGGAAGCACGGCGGTCTCGCACCTGTTTGTAGCCTCAAAGCTTCCCTCGGGACGATCGGGGACAACAGTCATGAGCACCACGCGGGCGGAGGCAACATTCTCCATGGGCAGGGAAAGGTGTGACAACCGACAGCCACGTGCAGTCCTTCGCCAGACCGACAATGTCAAGCCAACCCTCCACTCATTCGAATTCTGAGCCATAGCAAGAACTATCATGCCTGAGGAGAGCTCCTGAATGTCCCGGGCATCAGTGTCAGCACAGGCTTCCCTCAGCGACGCAGCCAGGGCACGCCATGCTGCGGCTCTGGATGTTCTCTTTGCTGGTGCCCCGATCAACTGCCTGATCAGCGCTGCTTCGCGCTCACATTGCTGGTGCCAATTCAACCTTTTGCCTTGCTTCCGGGCACGCATGAGGTTCGGAATCAGCGGCTTGTCGGCCTGGGAACGAAGATTCCGCAGCAGGACCCACAACCAGCCCTTGAGGTCACTGCACTGATCCAAGTCTGCGTGGTCCATGCTCCCAAGCCTGGTTTGCTTCAGCGCTGTGGACAAAGTCAGAACGTGCTTCGTATGATTGATGTGACAATCGCCCGCTGCCTCTTCATCCTCCGGGTCCTCCGGTTTGGTGAGCGTGGCCCAGCAATCAGCATCCAAGGTGGAAGGCGGCGGAGCAGTACCAGAGCCCAAGCGAGAGGCTGCTGCATTGTCCATTTGCGGAGCACTCTCCGCGCACCACGGCCTAGCATCTGCAATCTCCCTTGCACGCAGCTGGGCGAAGAGCGCATAACACTCGGCATCACCGTCACGGAGGTCGTGAGCCTCCGGCACCTCCTGCGGATCATGTGGGGGCTCAGCATCTGGGCCTCCGTCATCCACGTCCAGCTCGATCTCATAGCCATCCGCAACATCCTCGCCCACCTGCAGAGCTGGCACCTGCGGCACCTCAGACATGTGTGTGGAGGCACAGAAGCCAACGTAACTCCTCAGAAGCGCCGCCTTCGGGCGATCGCAGCAAGCACTCATCAATGCCAACGCCGCATCCAAGGCCACTTGGGCAGTCGCACTGAACTGCTCCGGCGTCACAGCGCTCCAGCGATCAGACCGTTCAGGGCCCGAGGAGACTTTTGCATCAGCCTGGCTCCGGAGTTGCTGCTGCTGATAGTGGTACATCTTGCGAGCGCTGCAATGCAGATAATCGCGGACAGTAAGATTTGAAGAAGACATCTGACCCCGACAATACCCAAAGTACTCCTCGAGCACCATCTCAGTCGATCGGGCTGGTACCCAATCCAGATCTGGAACCAAAGACGTTGTTGCTATGGCAACGAAGCCGCAGAGATCCTGCAAATTCGTTTGAGTGGCTGGATGGATCCACATGGTGCCGCGTGGCCTGCGTTGGTCCTGGCACTGCATGTTAGCTTCTATGCAACACAAGTCACAGAACACGTAGGATGTGAGGGAATTTTCGAGCCGCTGCAGAGGAGTGAGGTCCGGATGCAGCACCGCAGTGGTGCACAGCGTGATCAGCACATCCATGAGTAATGCCCCCGTGAGACTCCACGGTATCTGGACCTCGGCCACAGTGCTGCAGAGCTCCAGGATGAGGTGGTACGGGTTGAGCATGGTCGAGGCTTCCATGTCTGACTGGGCATCGAAGCCTTGAAAAGCTCCTGGAGGGAGATGTAGGTCAAGACCTCCGCACCAGTCCGTGAAGTATCGCCCCACGTGCACGGTTCGGCATGCACCCCGTAGCCCGCACACCAGGTTCTTGACAATGTGCTTTGGCCCGTTCAAGGCCAGCAGCGCCTCTCCTCGCAGCATTGGACGTCGGTAAGGGAAGCGGGGCAATGGTGACTCAGGCAAATCCTCAAACGTGACGTGCCGCCAAAATGGCAGCGCGGCAATCTCACGAGCAGTCAGGTTTTCCGGGAAGCCTTTCAGGAAGGATTTCAGGAGGCCGTGCGTGGAATGATTGTCCATGACCAGCGTGCGAATGCGAGAGCCTGCGCTCTCCATGATCCTGCCGATGATCTCCAGCATGTCACGGCCGGTGCACTTGTAGCCCATGGGCACGCAGCCTATACTCAACTGAGATCCCTAGCAACAAATACAAGTTGAGTTGTTTCTGAGGGACTACAATAACCAACAATTAGGAAAATGAATCTAAGTACCCCTTAAGGAGCAGAGGCTGTATCTTGGAATGCGCGGCACGGCCGGATCCCAGACGAGGCATTCCAGCATCTCCATGGCATAGTGCAAATTGGCGGCATCGTACGTCATCGGATGCACTGTGGTTGCCTGGCCTGCTTGCTCCGACGCCTGCTGCCCTTCAGTTGCCTGGCTTGCCTCCTGTGACGCAGCAGAGGCTGCGAGCGGCAGGAATCCCGAGGCATCTGCTGCTTGCTGCTGCTCTTCGGAACCTACTGCACCCGAACTGCTCGAGGACCTGGAGGACAGTGAGGACAGCTGGAAGCAGGTGCCTACGTAACCACGTCCCTGGCGAACCTGGACTATGTCTAGACCCTTGAGAAGGTAAGTTTTGTCCAGTGCCATTGTCAGTCTGCGGCAATGGCCCCGAGGAGGCAAGAGACCGTCGATCAGCAGCGCATTCTTTTGCAGCACCTCTGGCGAAGCCACAGCCAGGAATGGATCGGGCAGCCCGTGGCCGTGCATGTTAGACAACGGTAGTTTGGGTGCTGTCCAAGCAAGTCCGAACTCCCGGAGAAGGTGATTGTTGTTGGCGGCAAGGCTGATGCACACACCTGCCTCGATCATTAATGCCTTCTCGACATCGGATACCTGCAGCTGTCGCATGGTAGTGCTGCCGCGTGTTTTGCGAAGGGACATCTCAACCGCAGCAATCAGCACACCTTGAACCACCGGGTGTTCGTTCAGCGCCCCACACGCGACCTGGGACCCCAACTTCAGGTTCAGGTCGTCGACGCTCGCAAGAGTGCGCGAGGACAACTTGGCGGCCAAAGTCTCGGCGCGGGAAGCGATGGCGGAGCTCCAAGAGTGGACCGCGACACTCAAACACGGCTCAACAACCGCATGGATCAGGTCTCGCAAGGAGCGGCTCCACTTGTTCTTGGGAACGCTCATGTACTGCGTGCGCACATACTGCTGGGGGGATCTCAGGTCTAGCTTGAACATCGTATCGAACTCCTTCTCGCAGGCCTGCTGATACATTCTGCTGCCGCGAACCTCCTGGAGGAGTGCCTCCACCTGGCTCTCACGAAAGAGCTTGGCTTGCAGCAGATGGGCAGCCGTGTGCTTCAGGTAGAAGCGGGTTATCATGCGCACGATGCCGCGGTCGTTGCTCAAGCTGTAACACTTGCAGCACACAGGTGGCATGCCCTCCTGCACCACACTCCCACTGCTCCTCTCGCAGAGTCGGTGCCGGATCACGTACGTGCCCGACGTCAGATCATGCGTGTACTGGTGCATGCTGGACCCACCATCCTCAGTCTCATGCAAGCACGCTGCATTGGACAGGGTATTGTAGCAAACCCACAGCTCGAAGGCTGGCAGCATCTCCACGATCTTGGATGCCGGCAATGCCTTTGTGAGACGCAGACCCTGGCACTCAACCGTGGGCGGAACCTCGGCATCGGCGCCAGATCCACCAGCGGCCCTGGGTGCTTGTCCACCTTTGCGCGCGGCCAGGTTGCGGACATGCGTGGGGGCATTCACGTGCTGCAGGTAGAACTTCTCCTTGCGGATGTCAATCAAGTCAAAGACAGCTGGCTGCTTGGATGATGCACGAATACAGATGTTGCACTGGACAGGGTGCCGCCGCTTGTGCGTGTTCTCGGGCAGAAGCTGCAGGTGCGGGTTCTGTCGGACCAGGTCCCGGACATCGAAGTCGGTTTTCCCCCGACGGCACGCTTGCACGCCCGCAGAAGGAGCTGCCCCATCCACCGCATCACTGTCCTCCTGCACCTCCCGCTTCACGGAAACTTCACCCGGCTCCTGCTTCGGAATCTTCTCACCCGGCTCCGTCTTGGTTTGCTGGCTTTGCTGCTCGATGGTGTCCTGCAAGGCATGGGGGGTGTCATCTGTAGCTTGCCGCACAGCACGCTGCAGTGCGTCCATGGAGAAATTGGCTAATGACAACAGCTCCGAGCACAGCTTGCAAGCACCTGGCACGGATCCATCGACCAGCTGCTCTACCAACCTTTTCCAACCGCCATTGGCGCAAGACATAGCGCCCTTCAGCACCTGCCCCCGTGCATGCACCCTGCTCCAGGAATTGGCAGCCACCTGCAACGAAGCCAGATGAACACGGGCGGCCTGCAGCTTCTTGTCTGCCAGGCGACGAAGATCCCTGGCCTCCGTGGATTCCTTGCGCGCTCTCTTGAGTGGCTGCTTTGTGCTCCGGCCGGGCACATCATGCCCACCGTTATCCTCAGGCTCCGCCTTGACTATCGCTTCAGTTTTGCATGCGGACACGGTGGCCTGCAAAGGTATGCTGGGCCCAGAGTCAGGCCTTTCAGCTAGGATACCTGCTCTCATGCTCCGTCTGGCCGTGGCTGTCAGCTTGGGTGGCGTGTGCTGCGCATACACTGCATCCTGCCTCGACGCCGGTGGAGTCTTGGGAGATGATGGAGCCGTGGGATCCGTGGGCTCCTGCTTGACATTCCTCAGCTGGACCTGAGCTTGGCCACCCGAGTTGGGAAGATCCTCAGCGTCACTACGCTCCGCATCTCCGGCATCCTCCTCAAAGGCCCGCGGCACCAGAAAGAAGAAATGCTGGGCCCACAAGCGCGCTGCTGTTCCCTGGACGGGGTCATCGGACCGGACGTGGCTGGCCACCTCCCTCCAAAGGTCTGCTAACATAGCACGGGCATCCATCATTTCCAGATGCGTGTGCTCGTCGCTGGTTCTTGACATCCAGGGATTTCCGGCTCGAAGACCCAAGAATGCCCAGATCCCGCAGTTGCCCTCCCTTCCAACTTCCCGAGCCAGCAAGCCCGTGCTCGCATGCAGCCTCGACACCAGCTGCTTGAAGTTGCGCCGCTCCAGCTGCTGCAGCTCAAGCTCTTCCATGATCGAGTCAGTCACCGCATCCTCGTCTGCATCTGACAGACGCTGCAGAAGCTCGCACCGACGACGTTTGGCGTCCTGTTCCAAGCTCTTCTGCTCAGCTGCAAGCACATCTGCAGAGGCTGGCCAGGCTGGAATCCAATGATTCATCCTTGAAGTGTCATCGCATGCCTCGAAGTCAGCTCTAGTAAGAATGACATGCCACGGCGCCTGCCCCCTTGGTATGTCTGGCAGCGGCGGCATTTTTTCACAAAGGCCCTGCAGATACTCTGCTGTGCTGACTGCCTGCAGATGTCGTTCCGTGTAAAGCACAAAGCGCAGCTCCACCTGATGTACCACGCAGAAGAGCATGAGGTCGATGTGCTCCAAGTACACACCATCTCGCGCGAGGTCATCCGCGTGCGAATTAAGGATTCCTGCCAGGGCAAGGATGAAACTCCAGGGGTCTGACCTTAGGAAACGAAAACCAGCTTGGTCGGGTCAGGCCGCTAGGGTTTTATCGGCAAGGCTTCCCGAGAACATGGGCCCCAGCCCAGACAATCCAGACAAGAGGCACAGGATAAAACTCAGGGAGGCCTGACCACAGAGTCACGAATCCGCATGTTGGGGGCTGGCGCCTGGATTTTTATCCTGAGGGGTTTCTCTCAATCTCCAAGTTGTCTGATCTCTCTGCCCCAGACCAGGGTCCCGAGGATAAAACTCCGGGGCCTGACCCCAGAGCCGCGAATCCGCCCAGCAAGGCAACATCGCAGGCATTCATCGGCATTGTCCGTGCTGGCCTAGGTTGAACCACTAACCCTGGCCACACCCACACTGTCCACACTCTCCAATCGCAGCACCCAGCCTACCCCCCCTTCCCTGCAGCACCCCAGCCCAGGGTCCCCAGGATAAAACTCCGGGGCCTGACCCCAGAGTCGCGAATCCGGCCCAGCAAGGTAACACCGCAGGAGTTCATCAGCAACCCCGTGCCCCTCCTTTCCTCCCCCCTAGCCGGCTCCAGCATCCCAGCCCAGGGTCCCGAGGATAAAACTCCGGGGCCTGACCCCAGAGCCGCGAATCCAGCCCAGCAAGGCAACACTGCATGCATCGGCATTGTTCGTGCTGGCCTACCCTGGCCACACCCACACTGTCCACACTCTCCAATCGCAGAGCCTACCCCCCCTTCCCGCCCAGCAGCCCCAGGATAAAACTCCGGGGCCTGACCCCAGACTCGCGAATCCGGCCCAGCAAGGTAACACCGCAGGAGTTCATCAGCAACCCCGTGCCTCTCCTTTCCTCCCCCCTAGCCTGCTCCAGCATCCCAGCCCAGGGTCCTGAGGATAAAACTCCGAGGCCTGACCCCAGAGCCGCGAATCCGCCCCAGCAAGGTGAGATCGCTAGGATTTTATCCCGCCTCGCTTCTTTGTCTATTCTTATTCTTCTTAGTCATGGATCTCCACACAGGATGCACAAGATGAAACTCCACAGGGCTTGACCACACAGTTGTAAATCCGCACGCGAAGGTCAGACCACAAGGCTTTTATCTGGCCTGGCTTTTTCGTCTTAAATGTTGTAGCAGGTGTGTATGAGGCAAGTGCAGCAAATACAGCAAGAACAGTAAAGATGATAAAGTTACTTCATGAAGTGTCATTGCTGGATGCGACATCTAGCGAGCAACTGACGTACATCGTGTGACACCCACGACACACCAGTAACTAGGCCCAGTCCTTGCCACTCTTCAAGCAGCCTGGCCCGTTCTTCGGGAGATTGCCCCTGCTGCGGCTCTGACCCAGAGGCATCCTTGCTGTCCTGTGTCGCTGGTTGTCCTGCAGCGGAGCAAGAAAGGTAAAGGGCCCACACAGAACAAAGGCTATGTTCGCTGCCATGTCACTACTTTACAAGGGGTCGAACCATGTTGTATAAGCACCCTAGCTGAGATTAGGCTGGAATGCATCACATGACACACGGAGCTCCTGCCGCAGATCCAGGATCTTCCTGCACAGAACCAGTGGGCGCCGAGCTAGGCATCGCAGGCATCTCTGTGGCACCTGACAGGCTCTTCACAGCATGCACATGGCACGTAAGCTTCCGGAAGCTGTGCGAAGTGGCCTTCGGATCCCACTGCTGCAGGTGCTTCCTCATCTTCCTGGGCAGAACCAATGGGTGCCGAGCTCGGCATCCCAGGCATCTCTGCGGCACCTGACAGGCTCTTCACAGCATGCACGTGGCACGTAAGCTTCCGCACTCCGTGCGAAGTCACGGCCACCTGGCCTTCGGATCCCACTGCTGCAGGTGCTTCCTCATCTTCCTGGGCAGAACCAATGGGTGCCGAGCTCTGCATCGCAGGCATCTCCAGTGGACCTGACCAGTTCTATGGCATGTAGACTTTGGCTTGCTAAGTCAAGTCCGGGCCCCGTGGCCTCTAGATCCCACGGCTGGTGTCTCCGCTGCTCCTGACAGCATGCAACGTGGACTTTCTCACATCAGCAAGCTCGGAAAGCCCTGGCCACGCCTTCTCTGGATTCCATGGCTGCCTGTGGTGCCTCGACAGAACCAGTGAATGCCGAGCACGGCACCGTAAGCAGATCCGTGGCACCTGGCAGCGTGCACATGGGACGTGCGGCTTTGCAAAGCCAAAGCCAGGTGGCCTGTGGAACCCTCCGGCTCGTGTGCATCCCGAACTTGCATAGGTGCCTCCACAGCACCTGGCAAGGCAAGCTTCGGACTCTTCGGCATGAGTTCCAGATCTGGCCTGCTGCTCCTCCTGGATCTTCTGCCTCTTGCTTCACCCGTGTAGCCACGACTCCTGCCAGATAACAAATGAAACGGGAGTTCATGCTACTCGCGGCACTGGCTGGGGCTAGCCTATGCGTGGACACGTGTGGCTAACGGATAAATCATATGGTAATCGGCCCGGCCTGCTCCGGCTTCCCGCGTGACATGGGAGGAAACCACGGCCGAGGTCCCCAGATTGGCATCCCTACCTGCCAAGATCTAACGCATAGTCGGGAGTGGTGCATGGGTCAGTGGCAGCCGCCCAAGGACGAAGCAAAGCACATGGGATCATGATGCACGCACTGTGTCTTGCCCCCCCCCCCGCGGACAGCTTCGGATCACTCTGAACAAGTGTACAGAGTGTACAAGTCGCACTGCAGCATGCCAGGTTATGATCACCTGAATTCATTGTAGATCATACTGCATTACGGCTTACACAGCTGCAAACTGCAGGCATCCTCTGAGTGTTCCTATTGCATACGACCGACATCCCATTGCGGAGCCGGTGCTGGTTTCCAGCACACGCCCGGCATGCTGCTGCCCCCTGTGCGACATCAGGAAAGACGGGTTTTCTTCGTCGGCCGGGCAGTGACAACTTCGTCGTCGTCATCATCGTTCAGGCCTGATGCAAGCACGTCATCGAGGAACTGGTCCAAGGCTGGGAAAGGAGTGTCGCTCGGCGACCCCCCTGACACGGACGCTGCGCCACTGCTCAATGTCTCAATGCTTGGTATCTCCACGGTGCAGGTGTCAGCCAGCGTGTTTACATCGGCCGACCCTCCACCCTCCTTGCCGTCGCTGCCCTGCCCCTCGCACTCGCCAGCATCTGATGTGGAACGGCTCAGCACGCTCAGCTCCGGGCGCAAGCAACGACCTGTCGGACGACGCTCGCATGCCGGCTGGGCAACAACACTGGCTGCGGGATCGTCATCGTCTTGCAGACACGATCCAAGCACATCCTCCAGGAAGTCATCCAAGGCGGGGAAAGGAAGAGGGCTCGGCGAACCCTCTGACCTGGATGCTGGGCCACTGCTCAATGTCACAACCGTGCAGGTATCGTCCTGCAGGGCTTGTTCAGCGGAGCATCCACCCTCGTTCCTAGCATCGCCCTGCCCCGGCTCAGCCAGGTCCGGCCCACACTCGCCAGCATCTGTTGTTGAGCTGCTCAGCACGGGACGAGGACGACGACCCTTCTGGCTTACCCGCGGAGGAGTAAGGTACAGGTCGAACGACTGGGACTCACTCCGAGATCCCCCTGACATTGCTGCTGGACCCTTCTTGCAGCCCCGCGGAGGAGTCACGTAGGATGACATGGCAGCAGAGCGCCAGAATGCTGTGAATGCCGTGAGTGCCAGCACTACCAGATCTAGAGCAACAGCGAGCGAGCAGAAGTCAGTGACATGTTCAGAGGAAGCACACAGACACTAGGATCACGGCGCTCTCCCTCCTTAAGGAACAGGACCGGCCTGGCTCAGGAAGTGCTCCATTTGGAGTCCCATGTGCCTGCCCAGCAGAACAGGGACAGCCTACATGCTACGCGACAACCGTACACGTGCAGCGTGAGAACACAGGCAAAGCATAGCAGGCTAAACGGAGGCCACATCGCTCAGTACGGCCCGTGCTACGAAAGGAAACTCCTATGCATGGGCCTCAAATGTGTACTCGGGATAGCACAGATGCAAATCAGTCATGCTGCGCACAGCGGCCTGTCTGAAACACCTGCACACGCACTACTAGAATCAGTAGGCCTCCAGCCCCGAGGCAACCATCTCCGGCTGATGCTGGTCCTGCCAACACAATGCCGACATGAGTTGCCTACATTTCTCGATGCCACCGGTCCTGCAGCACCTGGTCCGTAGGCGCTCTCCCAACCTAGCGCAAACGATCGCAGCCGTGGCAGTGCTTGTTCTGCCATCTGACGCGCCTCGGCATCTCCATAATCCTGTGCCTGAGCTGCCATGTCCACGTAGTCCTTGAGAACAGCCTGCACGCAAAGAGCAGCAAGGATAGCAAGGGAAAGAAAGCCAAGCAACCCACAAGCAACAACACCACAGCAGTACCAGATTCCCTGGCCTTCGCAAAGCCGCGCTTGCAACCGAATCCGCCCCAGGACCCATGAAGAAACAACGATTTGTGCACGGTATTTACATCGCATACGGCCACCCAGCACTGGACTTTACTAGTCCAGTACACATCCTCCGTACAGCCGTGACTGCATGAAGGCATGGTGCATATCTCCGGCTTCGGCGGCTTGCAGCTAGCAGCACCACACAAGCAGACACCAGTGCCCGGAAGCCCGTCAAGTAGCGAAGGCTGCTCCTGCCGGTTGCTAGCGACGCTGGAAATGCAGGCACATGTGGTTGGGGGCGGTGATATCCCGCCTTGTAGTTGATCGTGATTTCCTCACCCTCAAGGATGGCCCGCGTGGCAATCACCTGCAAAGTTCCACTGCCCCAGAGGAAAACATGCAGAGTCGAGTCGGCAGGATGCAGAACTGATCAGCTTCTATCTGCCCACCTGCACGCACGGCATGCATACAGCCACGCCATCACGACTGCAGCTGCACCACGATTCCCGCAGCACGGCATTCGGAGAGCAGGAGTGATTCAAGAATCGTGCCCGTCCACCGCGCGAGCCTGTTGCGACCGAAGCTAGAACACATGCGTCTCAGCCACACCACTGCACCCTCAAACACGCTTCGGGAAAGGAACCTGCGTCGAGAAAAATGTCCACTCCCTCGCCGCAAATGGAAAGCTTCACAGCATATGGCCCGCCGGTCGTGGAGTATGCACCGATATATTCCATAATGAAGTCTCCTGCGTGTCATGCGAGCATCGCCCAGATTTTACTATACTGCTTAATGCTGTTTAGGAGTTTATGCTGCTTTTCCCAGACCCGACTCCTGCCATCACCTTCTCTGACATGTAGAGGCCGTTTCCCTTATTCCCTGCACCCAGCACAGCCGTGGACCGAGCTGCCGAAGGCAGCTTGGGCAGATCATCCCCCTGCCCTGCAAGCAACACTCTCGCCGACAGCTCCGTCGGCACAAGGTTCTGAGTCAAAGCCAGCCATTCCCCATGGCTAGGCATCGCGACTCGAATCTATATAATCTATGTATATTTAGACTATCTGAATCTGAACCCTGAGGACTCGTGTGTCTTCTGCAAATCGCACATGTCGCACACAGGAGAACCACATGAGAGCATGCTGAGCCATCCCACGGTGCATCGGGATCACCTCGCAATTTCCACAATTCCAGAAGCTCTAAATCCAAGCCAACCTACACACTACCAGCTACCAACCAGCGGCTGC